CCCCCCCAAAACAGACGCCGAACGCGCTTATCAGCTAATACTCTTGCCAACAGGGCTCTTTCGCCTTCCCCGAGACACCAGACAGAGGCGTCATTCACACCCTGGAGAGCTCGGTGAACTCCACCTGCCTTGGCCAAAGAGGAACCTTGAGGCACAGGTTTGTTGGCATCCTGCTGGGGTCTGTACCTTTACTGTGGCCTTAATTCGGTTAAAAACGGGCACGCGCGCTGGAAAACGGAACGACCCGTTTGAAAAGCCAACGAGCCCCCTCCAACAGCTGCTCCTTTATTTTTTTTCGGCCGCGCTACAACGCGGCACCGGTGCAGAGCGTCACCACGGAGGGGACATGGGCTGGGGGTTCTGCAGGTAGGACATCACCACGGCCGAGATGGACAGCCTGGCGGGGAAGAAGATGGACAGACATCAGCGTGGGCTTTGGAAAACACAGCAGAAGCGCGATGCTTCTTCTGCTCTCACCTCCGTGTCCTCCCCCTAGGGAGCTCAACCCCCAAATTCATCCCCCGCACTCACATGAAGCTGCTCATCATCTGCTTGGTGTCCTCGGAGCTGCGGGAGTTGGCGAAGCTGATGAAGGAGCAGTAGACGGCGATCCAGGCGCACCACTTCAGCTGCGCGCGGAGGGGTACAGCTGGGCACGGGGACGCCCCGGGGACAGTCCCCCTGTCCCCGTGTGGCCCTTGGACACCCCCGGGCACGGTCCCTGAGCCCCCTCCATGGTGCTTCTTCACCCTGATGCTCTCCACTGCCAGCCCCGGTCCTCCTACAACTCTTACACACCCCAAAACTCGCCAGGGCCAGTCCCTGTCCCCCCCATAACCCTCCTCCACCTTAAGGGCTGGTCCCAGTCACCCCATAACCTTCACCCACCCCGGTATATCCTAGAGCCCTGTCTCTTTTCTCCACCCCAGTCCCCCTGGGGTGCCCTCACCCAGCCCAGACTGACCCTGGTCCCAATGCCCTCGTGCACCCTGGGCTGGTCCCTATCCCAGTGCCCCCTGGGTCCCTCCTCGTGCCCTTGCCCTCCCCGTGCCCCTCAGGCCGGTC